GGCGCCCCCCCCCCCCGAAAGCCTCGCGCAGGCGGTTCCCCCTGCTCTGTCCTCGCTGCGCGCCCGGCTGCCAGGTCTTCGCGTGAGGGCATAAAGCATGTGCTGCAGCGGGGGTTTGTTCGCACTTTGTTCTCGATAGGTCTCGCTCTGCAGAGCACGGGAACCCGAGGTGAGGCACTGTTGCCCTGATCCTGGAGGCCACGACGGGATTTCGCACCCCGGGCAGGAAGCCGCGTACCACGAGTCCCTGCAGGTGCAGGGGCCACCGATGCAGGACTCGGATCACAGCGCTGATGAATCGGCCCCAAATGCTCTGCAATTTACAGCTGAGCTCACCAACCCCTCCTTAATGCTCGGGATGCAAATCAGCGCAGCCCCTGGAAAATCAGGGAAAAAGAGAGGAAAACTTAAGTTTTCCATAGAAAAAAAAGAAAACGTCACCTGCATTTTTAATGCCAGCAAGGAATTGCCCACAGATTTTAAAAGCAGAACATTCACCTGCTTTAATTGTTCGTTTTCTTTAATTTGTTGTTACCTCTTTTATTTCTCTGCCCTGTACAGACCAAGGTACATGCTTCGCTCTGCCGTAACATGTTCTTGGGGTAAGAGCGAACCAAGAAAGGCTTCCCCCAGGGTTCGGTTGCTCTCTAATGAAATCAGTGGCAGGGTTCCTGCTGGCAGGAGAGGAGCCCTCACTGACTTTGTAGCGGCTCCTCGAGCGCGTGGCATGACTGGGGACGACGTGAAGGCGGTGACAGCAGCCCCGGCAGCGCACAGCTTTCTCTCGTGGTGTGTTTAACGACTGGCGAAGCCCCTGGGACAATTTTTAGTGGAACACAAGCACTGAAAATAATTGTGTAGTGAAAGTTTTACTTTCCAGATCAAAAAAACCCCAAACTTTCTGCCCTCTGCTGTTTAGACCAGTAAAAAAGAGAGAGATCTACAAATCTGCATCGAATGCATACAGCTGAGGCCCCAGCCTAACTGCTTTTGAAAAAATAATCTATCTCAAGCTTGAAATTCTTGGGCGCTTAGGTGTTCTATGCGCTTGGACCTTTGCATCTGTAGGAAGCTCTCCTGAACTCAGTGGACTATCAACAAGGCGCCAGGGACCTATTCACAAGCTGCTTACTTCGTTAAACCAAAAGTTTCCTGACGTACACAGAAAGGGCAGTTCGTCACCATAAAGTTAATTGCCCACAGTTACTCAAAACATACAGAGGTCCCACGCTGATGGTAACAAGCATATTCTCCATACTTGATTGGTCTCTAAAGATGAAATAGTGATATGCCTGACTTCCTCACAGAATATTCAGAATTTAATTTATGTTTGTAAATTGCTTCAAGATTTTTAGATGAAAAGCTCCAAGTACTATTATTTCATTATTGTAATTATTTCATTATATGATTGCAAGGGCTGCGTCAGTATTTTCACTGTAGGCTTCCTCTAATTAAAACGCATCAAGGATATAAAATTCAGGTTTGCAATTTGTCTGTGTGCTTTCAGGGGATAATTCTGTATTCAGAAGCATTTTGCATGTCCACAATGTAAAACTAACTTCCAGATTAATGCATAGCAGAAACTTCATCAAATCATATTATTACTTCAACAACATTTTTACATTTTAAGACAGTGCATTAGATCAGAAATGACATTAGGCTAGACATAAACCGTATTAAAAAAAAAAAAAAAAAAAGAAAAAAACCCCCCCCCCCCCAAACAGCCACTCTCCCTCTCACACACAATTCCCCTACCCCAAGAACATATGAAAATGGAAGCAGATACTGCAATGATAAGATACACACTTTTGTATTTTTATTCTTATAAGGTTATTTGCTGGCTCTTGTTGGCCTCTAGTTCAGTCTATGTTATTTAAATTCTAATATTGCACCTGGGTGCCGAGCTGTCACGTCGCGGCGTGGAGCAGAGACCGGCTCTGCTGAGGGGCTCCTTGAGAAAGCGGCTTCGGCTTCAGTGCGGTTTCCGTCAAGGAAACGCGGAGACTGCCGCAGTTTGTAGGGCACCGAGGGCTGCTGAGTGCCTGCCCTGCTGGCCCAGACCCCTCCTCGCCAAAATATTCGCGTCTGTGATGCCCTTGAAGTTCTTCCTGTGGGTTGTCTTATAACGCTGGCTGTGCAAGCAGAATTAACGTCAGTATGACTAAACTTGGCAACGCCAGGTATTGACGTTGTTGCTTGATGCTCCTGGAAGAGCTGAAGCTGTTTTTACATATGCTGCGTTTTTCTTTTTCTCCCTTACCTTAAGGTGAACTTCACAGTAGACCAGATACGGGCCATCATGGACAAAAAGGCCAACATCAGAAACATGTCTGTGATTGCCCATGTTGATCATGGCAAATCAACCTTGACTGACTCTCTGGTCTGCAAAGCTGGTATCATTGCCTCTGCCCGTGCGGGGGAGACCCGTTTCACTGACACGAGAAAAGATGAGCAGGAAAGGTGCATCACTATCAAGTCAACGTGAGTTCCCTTCCTTCAAGGGCCTTAGTGCTCTTGGTACATGGTCTGACCTCGAGAGTGCCTTGAGCCCTAGACCTGGTTTTGGTCACGAGATGAAAGAAGAGACTGTCAGGCTCCCTCTAGTCTAGTCTAGTTGAGAAGCTTCTCTCTTCCTTGTCGTGAGGACTGCTTAAATGAAAGAGCAAGTATTGATTTACTTGTGGTGAATCATAAAGTGCTATCTTGATGGCCCCTGGGAAAGGGATGTGCTCAGCCTTCCATTTTAGCACTAGCTCAGTTTAGCGTGGCTCATGTTCGCTGGAGTCCCGCGGATGCAGTCCTGAGACCGCGTGCGAGCAGCCGTTGTTGTCTGGAGCATCTCTGGCAGTACCCCTGACAAAATCACTAGTGGAGCGTACTGGACTGTTAACCAGTTTGACGACCCCTAATGGGCATAAAAGGGATGAAAAAGGGGATTGGGACTATTAGAAAAGCTTAAATACTGGACCAAAAGAAACCATACGCTGTGTCCTCTGGGTTGTATGGAGCTAGAGGAGGTTAGGATTTCAGAAAGGCATAAGCTGTGCTGTTTTTAGCTTAAACTTGTAAGCACCCACCATACTGGCATCTTAGGAATATGTTGTAGGAAAGCCTTAAGCCCAAGTGCAGCTCTCTGTGCAGGACAGGCAGCTTATATTTGCTGTATTTGCTTTCTAAGGACTGGAGAGGGTAAAGAGTAGATAACCATTTTTATTAGTTTTTCTTTTATTTCAGAGCTATCTCTTTATTCTATGAGCTCTCTGAAAACGATTTGGCCTTCATCAAGCAGAGCAAGGATGGTTCTGGTTTTTTGATCAACCTAATTGACTCTCCTGGACATGTGGACTTCTCTTCAGAGGTCACTGCTGCTCTCCGTGTCACTGATGGTGCCCTGGTTGTCGTCGACTGCGTCTCTGGTAAGGTGTTCGGCAACCAGGTGCCCCTGGAGTGCGTCGGGCAAGTTCAGAAACGGTGCTAACTCCTTCCCCTGTGTCTGACAGGTGTATGCGTGCAGACAGAGACTGTGTTGCGTCAGGCCATTGCTGAGAGGATCAAGCCTGTTCTAATGATGAACAAGATGGACCGAGCGCTGCTGGAACTTCAGCTGGAGCCTGAAGAGCTGTACCAGACCTTCCAGCGCATTGTGGAAAATGTGAACGTCATTATCTCCACGTACGGAGAAGGAGAAAGTGGTCCCATGGGAAATATCATGGTAAGCGGAGGGCTGTGAATATTATGTTTGAAGTAGGGCCCTAGCAAGCAGGAGCAGTTGTGGCTTTTCAGCAGTTTGTTCTTTTTTTCAAATGGAGAAGGGAAACTGGAATAATCATCTGGCAAAACTGCCCACACTTGCCCTGGTGTGGGGCTCTTGCTAGCTCTCTTTCTAACCCTTGTATTAGTATAATACAAGGGCAGATAGAAGAGCAGATAGACTGTAAATACAAGAAAGTATTCTCTCTCAGAATGAAACGTGCCCTTGTGTTGTAGGACACTTGCTTGCCCACATCACAGATGTGATGTCAGGTGACGTGAGATCCTAGACTCCTACTCAGCATAACTCCCCCGGCTGTGTCCTGAAATGGAAGGCCAGTCGGTGTTTGAATTCCTTCACGCTCTGAATTGTCAGAGCTCGGCTCTCATAACTTCCTGAGTAGTGAGCAGGGCTGCTGGCTGGAGGTGCTGAGGGGAATGTGATATTTTGTTCCTGTCTGTAGGTTTTAATATATTGTTGATAATTCTTAGTCTTACCTGCCCACAGATGTAGCAGTTGGTGGAGTGTCTAAGTAGGTAGCTGGTTAAGGTAACAGAACTGACCTAGTTCTGCGCCACAAAACTGTGTGTGTGCGCCATGCTGTCACAGTAGAACTGCTCAAGGGTCCTGTAGCTCTGAAGCTCCATCTCCAGAAGCTTTTCCTTATGGAGCCATACTGATCGCCCCTTGTGAAAGGCTAGGTTTGACTACTGTAGCACTGTGTGGTTTGCCACCTGTGGCTGTAAGAGCTGCTGCTGTTCCTGTGTAACGCTGCTGTCCTATTATCTTTCAGATTGATCCAGTGCTTGGTACGGTTGGCTTTGGTTCTGGCCTGCACGGCTGGGCTTTCACTCTGAAACAATTTGCTGAGATGTATGTTGCAAAGTTCGCTGCCAAGGGTGAGGCCCAACTGAATCCAACTGAGCGTGCCAAGAAAGTTGAGGACATGATGAAGAAGCTGTGGGGAGACAGGTGAGTAATTGTGGCTGCTCTTAATTCCAGATCAGCTCTGTATGGTTGTGACCCAACATTGTAGATGATCGCTAAAGATGGAGGAGATGGCTGCGTCTGTGGGACCCTATCTGTATGGTTTGGTCCCTATACTAGTTTTGGCCCAAAGAACAGCCTTTCCCCGAAGTCCTTAGTGAAAAAGAAACAAGTAGACAAATGGAGAAGGGATGGTGATTCGGCAAGACGAGCAAATGCGTTTTGCTCTGCTCTGAAAGCCTGGGAGTGATGGAAAGGTCTGAAAGCAGTTCTTACTCGGTGACCCTTCCTCTCTCTCCTGAGCTAAGCAGAACAAGCCACTCTTCAGTAGTGAAACTGGGCGTGGGTGCTTGTCTGACTTAATTCTTTCTCCAGGTACTTTGATCCTGCTACTGGCAAGTTCAGCAAATCTGCTACCAGCCCTGATGGAAAGAAACTGCCCAGGACTTTTTGCCAGCTCATCCTTGACCCCATCTTCAAGGTGGGTTCCTAAGGGCCCAGCCTTTGCTGGTGCCTTACGCTCTCTGGTTTTATTAGTGTGTGATGATGGAAAATTTCTTCACTTTGACCTGACTTGTTTGTTTGAAGAAATTTAAGTATCTGACACAAGCTTAGCTCGCTACCCTGTGCAGGCAAGGAAACTGTTAGTTGGTGTTTGTAAAGGCAAGTATATGTCTTGGCCCCCATATAGATTTAACTGGGTGATGGGCAAGAATGCAGATTCTCTTTAGAGACTTGTGCTGCTTCCCCTGCAAAGTAGGTCGTTTGAGACGTTTCTGCCTTGTTCTGTTACAGGTTTTTGACGCAATCATGAACTTCAAGAAAGAGGAGGCAGCTAAACTGATTGAGAAGCTGGACATCAAGCTTGATAGTGAAGATAAGGACAAAGAGGGCAAACCACTGCTGAAGGTGAGGTTTGCCTGAGTTGTCTGTGGGGAAGAGACTAGCAGTTGGGCTGCTCAAACTGTGTAGCCTTGTCAAGCAGCT